GAATGGCGACAGCAGCGAAGATGGCGGCAGCGACGACAACGACAGCAGCAGCGGCTCGGGCACGACGCGCAAGCACTCGCAGCTGCGCAGCAGCGGCAAGAGTCGGCTGCGAAACAAGTCGACGCTCGGTTTCGGCCTCGTGGCCTCGAGCCGATCGGGGAGCGCGATCGAGCGCGACGCCAGTGGCAGCGACCGGGACAGGGACACAGAGGAGGAGGAGCGGGACCAGCAGAGCGGCAACGAGCCGGCCACGGACACGGCCGACGAGGAGGGGGTCGACCAGGAGGCCGAGAAGGAGTGGCTCGACAGCTTCGACGACATCCCGCCCTACGACTCCAACGACTACGACGACTCAGACGACGTCGGCGAAGTCGATTCCATGGCGTCGTCAAGGGTGCGCTACCACTCCCACCAGGGACATCTTTGTGGCCGCTTCAACTTAAAATCATCGTATGGTGTGTGTGTGTGTGTGGCGTGTGTGCGTGCGTGCGTGCGTGCGCGGTGTGTGTGCGGTGTGTGCGTGTTGCGTGACCGACGCGTAGGAGTTGACGTCGTTGGGACCCGACGGCGCTCTGTCCAGCTCCCCGCAGTCTGGTGAGTTCTTCCTCCCGCCGAACCATCGCAAGGGCGCATTCCTGTTCCACGCCATTCGGAAGAAGAGAAAGCGACACTCGAAGAAGGTCACCCTCATCATCGACGTACCGCAGGTGCATCACAGCCCTCCTTTCCTTTTTCTTCTTCTTTTCTATTAATAGCTAAGCTCCTCCTTCATCCAGCAAACGATCGCCATGTACGAGCTCCGCAAGTCCTCGCCCACCACCATGCCCATCGACTCGCTTCTTCAGGCAACTCCCACCACCACCCACCACCACCCACCACCATCATCACCACCACGTGTCGTTTGCTACACAGTCACTGACACCTTCATGTCGGCATGAACAATGGGGCACACCATGTAGGTGACAAGGCCATCGGGGAGTCGCAAGAAGCTCCATCTGCTGTGGAAGCTCAAGGAGGTACCCGAGAAGTTCATCTTCCACAGCTCGGCCGAGGGCGAGCGCTTCTACCAGGCCTTCTGGGCCGCCAAGATCCCGCGCGTACGGCCTTTCTCTCTGTGTGTGTGGCGCTGCTGCTGCTGTGTCATAGGTGCGCTAAGCACACGCAATTGCCGAGCAGGCCATCGAGCCGGCGCTGGAGAAGCCAGCACGCACCGAGACCATCGAGATCTTCATTGGAAACTGGAACCTGGGTATGTGCCAAAACGCCGCCGCATGATGCATCGCTTACTTTGTTCGTGTGAACTCTGCGTTTCCTGCTGCGAAGGTGATGCGCCACCGCCGGGCTCGTTGGCCGAATGGATACCGCGCGACAAACACGACATCTACGTCATCGCCGTCGAGGAATGTAAATACGCCCCGCGACACGGAAACGCCTCGTGCGAAGTCGATTGGTTTAACTGCGTGCAATCTCATCTCGGACCCAACTACATCAAGGTAACACAACCTGTGCACACACGCGTGTGTGTGGTGTGTGCGATGTGTGCGGTGTACTGACCAACATCGTGTGCAGATGGCGGGCCTGTCGCTTCAGTCCATTCGGCTGTTGATCCTGGTGCGAAGAGAGCACTACTACAAGATCAGCAACATCGAGAAGGAGAAGGAGGCCACGGGCATCGCCAACGTGGTGGGCAACAAGGGCGGCATCGGCGTCGCCTTCTCCTTCTACGAGACCAGTCTGTGCTTCGTCGGCGCCCACCTGGCCGCCCACCTGGAGATGGTGCCGGCGCGCAACAAGAACTACCACCAGCTCATGCGCGGACTGCGGCTGGGTCGCTACCCGGGTGACCTGCACAACCAGTTCGACCACCTCTTCTTCACCGGCGACCTCAACTACCGCATCGCCATGGAGCGCGAGGACGTGCTGCGGCTCATCCACGACCGCCGCTGGGACACGCTCTACGCCAACGACCAGCTGCGCGACCAGCGCGCACAGAACAAGGTCTTCTGCGAGTTCAACGAGGGCGCGATCGACTTTGCGCCCACCTACCGATACAACCGCGGCGATCGCACCTACAGCGAAGAGGTGCGCACAGTCTCTTCCCATTGGCTCTGCCCGTCCATGCCCTCACTCTCTTTGTGTCGTGTGTCGTGTGTCGTGTGTGTGTCGTGTGTGCCGTGTGTGTCTCGTGGTAAACAGAAACTGCGGGTGCCGTCGTATACGGACCGCGTGCTCTGGAAGTCGCTGGCGCCAGACCGAAGCGCGCAGTTGCTATCGTACGAGGCCCATGACGGAATCATGACCAGCGACCACAGTCCCATCTCCGCGGTCTTCTCCCTCGACGTGCTGTTGCCGCCCCTGCCAGGTACCCACCGTTCTCTGCCCCAACCACCCGTCCAGCCCATTCGCGTTCGCTCTAACCACACGCACACGCACACGCACACGCACACGCACACGCACACGCACACGCACACGCACACGCCAGACGAGAACTCGAAGAGATGTGTGATCATTATCTCGCGATTGCGAGCGACCAATATCGGAGTCCACCGAAAGATCAAGGAACAGAAGCGGGAGCAGAAGGAGGCGAAGAAGGACAGGGACCACAAGGAGCAGAGGGCCAAGGAGCAGAAGCGGGAGCTCAAGGAGCTCAAGCGAGAACTCAAAGAGCTCAAGAAGGAGCACAAAGAACTCACCAAGGAAAAGAAGAAGGTGCAAGAGATTCATTGTTTACTGTTTCATGCGTGTCGTGTGGCTCACACGACACGACACACACGGCACACACACAGCAGGACAAGAAGGACAAGGAGAAGGAGGTGAATGCCTACGTGGCCTTCAGCGGCCCATTCCTCGATGGAATGCACAAGACCGGTGTCGTCCCACGACGATCCGATCCTGGTGCGTTTCCACCGCACACAACACAACGCACGACACACCACACACCACACACCACACACCACACACCACACACCACACACCACACACCACACAACACACAACACACGCAATAACACGCACGCTTGTGTGCAGTGTGGGAAGACAAGGACGTGCCGATACTGGAGCCGCTGGCCTCGACCAAGCACTACCTCAAGCGCCAGATGCTCTTCATGGCAGTGCGCGGCCAGAGCGTCGCGTCGTCAGACGAGCTGGGCCAGGGCGTGCTCTCGCTGTGGGAGGCCTGCCGCCGCGACGGCCAGCCCGTCGACTTTGAGGTGCCCCTGCGCGACAAGGGCAAGGCCGCCGGCACCCTGTGCGGCCGGCTCATCGTCAAGTGGGAGGACCGACGCGCCGAGCGCCACGCGCGACTACTCGACGTGAGCCTCAACCTGCGCCAGTCCCAGCAGGCGCCCGGCGGCACCACCGCCACCACCAAGCCGCTCGACTCGCTGCTCCAGGCATCAGCCGCCGCCGCCGCCGCCTCGGCCTCGTCAACCATCGAAGAACTGGTCGCCCAGGGCCCCGGCGTGGCACAGCCGCAACCACAAGGACCCCAGCCGTGAGAAAAACCTCGTCCCTGTCCAGTAGAAGTTCAGTGAAAAGCAAGAGCCTGTTTGCCTTTTCGCCGGGCTCGTTCGAAGACCGACAGCGAGGAGAAGACGAGGACGATGAGGAGGAGGAGAGGATTATTACGGGGGCAGCACCAATGGCATAAGGAGAGGCATGGGCAGGTTCTTTGATGACGAGGCCGAACAACGGGAAGAAGAAACGGGAGGAAGGGAAACAACGGCTTCTTCCTCGGGTGTCTCACGGCATTTGGAGACAAGGCCACCATACTATCGGGTTCTGATATACCGGGACTCGATTCTCGGACGACAGTCGTAGCAGGGCCTGATGAAGAGAAGGAAAAACCACAGAAGCCCGTGTTCATTCCCGTGCCGTTCAAGGAGGTCATGAGGAAAATGCTACCAAACGAAAAGGTGAAAAACGGCAAGAAAAAAACAACTCCAGAAGACGAGAGCGAATCCCCAACAACAGCAACAACAATGGAAGACAATCCGCCATTGTCGCATAAAACGAGGAAGGTGAAAGCCTAGTGACACTCAACAATAAAAAGAAACAAACCAACAAATTGGTGTTTTTTTATTTCTTTTTATTATTATTGTACTCTGCCATTCATAGTAATCATCATAATCATTGGTTTTGTTGCTGTTGTAGTGCTTTTGCAAAGACTGGCGGTGCAATAGGACAGGAGAGGGAGACCTTGCATGTTCATTGTGATTGATGATGTGCTACATTGTGTTCCCATGAGCAAGTCCTGCTGCACTCAAGAGGGTGTGCACAACTTTGTTAGCAGCAGGTTTTGTGTCCCTTTGGTGGCGCTTCAAGTAGCCAGTGTGGGCCATGATGTCCATGTAGTCCCTAAAGAGCCTCAGATTCACTGTACTCCTTTTCATTGCTACCACAAGGGCAAGGAAGGAGGCACACAGGACATTGTTTGCACAGATTACACCTGACACTACGCCTTTCTTGGCCTTGTTCAGGACAGCCTCCACCACAATCTCATGTGTGATCTCCATATGCCTGCAGGTGCTAATGGTGGTGCTGTATTGTTGTTGTTGCAAAACACAATAATGACAAAAAACCTGACCATGGCTCTCACTGGCTGTTTGCATGACACTGCACAATGATGGTGGTAGGGGGTTTGTTTTGTTTTTTGTCCCCTGGTTGTTTCTTGTCATAATCACTTCCCATGTTCAGCATCACCATCCTGTTGCTGAGGAGGTGAGGAGGCGTTGTGGTGATGTGATGCTGATGATGTACTGATAGGCCACAAAGATCCATGATATGAGCAAGAGTAGTATGGTCTCTGTCACAGATAGACCTGACCTTGACCAGTATTGGAACATGAGCAGGGAGCTGTACTGGAATGAGATGATGATCATGATGAGCATGATGAAGTCTATGAGGGTCATTATCATGCTGTTCCACCTCTGGTCCTACCTCTCCCACATGATTTATGGCATAGTTGATCATGTTGTAGATGATCACCACAAGCACAGTGACAGCCATGAAGACAAGGAAGGATTTGATTTTGTCACAGCTCCCATTGGTGATGAACAGGCTCATGTACATTGTTGTGGATGAGGAGATGATGATGGCTGAGAACCTGACAAATAGCTCCTGTACCAATGTGGGTGCTTGAACATGGTGCTCTTTTCTGTGGCATCCTGTACAATGAAGGGTGTTTGTTTGTTTTTTTTTTGGTGGGGATGGTCTAGAGTGTGCAATGATGTCTCAAAAAGAATGACACAAAGGAACTGTTCAATGCTGTTGGAGGAGACATTGGTCTATGTGATTTTTTATTTGTGACATCAACTGTTTTTTTGTGAGCATTTGCATGTGTTTGTTGGAGGGTGAGGTGAATCAATTGTTGCTATGCATGTTGTTACCAGTCCATTCAGTTTGCTCATAGTTCTTGTCATCATCATTGCTTGGGGTGTGGTCTGGCAACTCTAGCACATCCACAAACTGGTCTTTCATTTCCCCCTCTAGTATCATGTAGCTTCATGATCAGGGGTGTCAAACTCCTCTTTTACAATGCGTATGAGCGTCTCCAGGTTCCTGAACGTCTTCTTCCCACCAGCACAGAAATTTACAACGGCAATTTGAAAAAGAAACTCTCCTGAAAACCAATCTCGTGAAACCCTCCGAGAGCTGTAAGTCCGTGTTGAAGCCAATAGCGGGCCTTCGGAAAAAAACAGCTTCCGCTGGAGCATAAAAAGAAAGCAACCAACATCCAACACTTTCACAAGCGCCAAGAGAAGCAAGAGATGTCACAGGTGGTAATGACTCGAGGCCCGCGTGACGGGCAGAAGCTCAGCAAGACCGTCACTGATGCCAGCAAGATTGAACAGCTCCTTGCCAGCGCGGAAGCCATCCAGGCCCCCACCTCTATTATGAAGGTAGGCAGCTTCCTGTTCCTCTCTTTTCGTTCATCTTGTGCTCGTGCTGAGTGGCTTCGCCCCGACCAGGTCAAATGGACGCATGACGTGGACGTGATGACGGTGCAGCTGTCCAAGCCCGTGGGCGTGTTCACCGATGGCGTGGTGGAGGTGTGGGGCGAAGGCAGACGACTGCGCGTTCCGGGCCAAACTTCGTATAGCTTCTACCCCAGCAGCGAGTCTGACCAGACAGCCAAGCTCGCGAGTGACGTGGGTGAGCTCTGGAACTCCGCATGATGAGCGACACCTCATGGCGAAGGCTAGCTCCAATGGAAGAGGGCCAAAGCCTGGACAGGCGCCGTTGTCATCCCCGTTGTGGCGAGACGCTGTTCCGTTTGCTCCGTCATTATTCGCTCCTTCCCCCACGTCGTCTCCTCTCTCTCCTTCAGATGTGTATCCTTCGGTCGGTCGGCGTGCGTTCGCGAGGAAAAAAGTAGTACGTCTCTTCTTACTCAAGGGAACGGTGGCCTCCAGTTCCCTATCGTCTTCTTTGGCGTGGAGGAGCGTGGCGACGGATGACAGGATGGCGCCAACATGGTCCCATTTTCTCGCCTTTTTCTCGCATGTTCGGAGAGTAATATAGTTAGGGGTGGAGTTCTGGTGCCGTGGACCGAAACACCCCACGTGCCGCTGACGCACGCGCTCTGGGCGACGGCCAGCTTCAAAGAGAGAAGAGAGAGAGAGTAGAGTGAGAGATGATGGAGAGCGGCAAGGCCTTGAGGCGGCGGGTGGGGCGGGAGGAGGGGCGGCAGAGGGGGGAGACGCAGGGGATGAAGGACCAGCGAGTGATCGCTGACAATGCGTCGGCGACCGCGGCCAACAACGGCCGGCAGGTGGAACTGAGCGCCAAGAACAAGGCCGAGACGAGCTTCACTAAAATCTCCCTCCTCGACATCTGCCTCGAAGACAACCCCTACCTCCGAAGTGGTAAAGCATTTATTTTAATTCTCAATCTCATATTGAGAACAATGACAATAATCTCAGTTTAATCATCTTTTTCCAAATTAATTGTTCCTTTTCTTTTTAATTGTATTTTTCTGTATTAGTCAACCCATTTTTATTTATTTATTTCTGATGCATTGCTTCTAGGGTACCGAGAGATGGGCAAGAAGGACGCTTGCGCGTGCGTGTGCTCGGCCTTCGCGCTCCACAACGAAACTGTACGCCACACCGGACGCACACGCACACACGCACAAAACACAGATCACTGACGTCGCGACTTTCTCGCGTGGCGTATGTGTTGATGTCTACGACTTGTGCAAACAGGTAAATATCTGGACGCACGGTCTGGCATTTTTGATGTTCGCTGGTCTCGTGCTCGAGAACCTCCTCTCCACCGCCAACATGCCCTTCTACGACCGGTACCACCGCACACACCACCGCACACGCCAACCGCACGCACCACCGCACACACTCGAATGCAGACTGATGATGAATGGTGTGTGGTGTGTGTGCAGTGTGGTGTTTCTGGTGTACCTGGGCTGTGTGTCGACCTGTTTCTTCATCAGCACGTTCTACCACGTGTTCCGCAACCACTCGGTCCGGGCCTACGCCAACTGGCTCATCGCAGATATCAATGGCGTCGGTACCGTTTCCCCCGCGCTCGTGCGCGTGCCGTGCGTGTGCGTGTCGCCATCCGCGCATTTACTTGACTTTGGGCTGAACTCGATGCGTTCGTGGTGGCGGCGGTGGGTGGTGGGTGGTGGCTAGGCCTGTATATTTTTGGTTCGGTGCTGCTGGTGGCCTATTTTCGATTCTGGTGCCACGACGTGCACCGATGGACCTACATGGTACCCCCCCTACGCGCTTTTCTGACTGTCCACCACTCGAGTCAATCACATGCGCTCACACGACACGACACGACACGACCAACGACACGACCAACGACACGACCAACGACACGACACGACACGACCAACGACACGACCAACGACACGACACGACCAACGACACGACCAACGACACGACCAACGACACGACCAACGACACGACCAACGACACGACACACAACGACAGACTCTTGATGTAATGCTCTATTTGTCATTTTCGTATCGATGCCGGCCATCGTCAAGTACAAGCTCTTCAACCTGCGTACGTGTGGCCCTCCCTCCTTCGCTCTTTCTCTTTTTCTCTCTCTCTCTCTCTTGCTCACCCCCCACTCCCACCACCACCACCCTTCAGGTACCTGGCTGTTCGGTCTTCTCTCCATCCTCGGCCTGTGGGCCCACATCCACGCCGACATCCGCGACGGGGTACGTACCGTGTCATCTGTCGTGCTGCGTGTCGTGCGTGTCGTGTGTGCCGTGCGTGCCGCTCTAAATGTCGCGCCAACAGTTCTTCGAGTGGACCACGGTGAGCAGAAACCTCAAGCTGGTGTGGGTGGCCGTCTGCGTGATCGGCTCCATGGTACTCATCTCGCACCCGTGCGCATGTCCGACCGGCGATGCCCCTTCTAATTGCCCCCCCACCCCACCACCACCACCACCACTCTAACCACGGCGTGTTTACGCGCGGCAGGTCATCCGCAACAAGAAGGTCCCGGAGAGGTGGTACCCCGGCCGATTCGACATCTTTGTACGTATTTACGTTTGTGTCGTGTGTGCGTGTGTGCGTGTGTGCGTGTGTGCGTGTGTGCGTGTGTGCGTGTGTGCGTGTGTGCGTGTGTGCGTGTGTCGTGTGTGCGTGTGTGCGTGTGTGTAGTGTGTGGTGTTCCGCCCACATGGCTGACGTTGTTTGTGGTGTGGCCACGACTGCAGTTTGCGTCGCATCAAATCTTCCACGTCCTGGTGTGGCTCGGCATGTGCATCCTCTACTCCGTCTTCTACTCCGAGTTCGGCCCGACCAGTCTCACCGCCGACAACGGCCGCACCTGTCCCACTTCTCTGTCGCTTTGAGCTGTTTTGTTGCACTTTTCCTCATTTTTGCTAACTCTTGCGACCACACAGAAGAGTGTTTAAAACAAACATGATTGACATTTGTTTTCTGGTGTTGTAATGATGTAAAACATGTTTGTTGTTGGTTGATACACGGCCGCACTAGTGGCTCTTGGCTTGGAGCTGCTGTTCGAGCTCCTGCACGCGCCGCTCCAAATCACTTCGCGCCTGCTGCTCCTTCTCCAGCAACTCTCGCAGTCGGCACGCCTCCTTCTCCCAGTCCACCACCACCGGCGTTTTGCTCGCGTCGATGCCCCCAAGCGATCTGGAGCGCGCGACCACCCCGAATCAGCACCGCGTGCGACACACCGCACTCACGACGCCCACAACACACGCACACGCACACAGCATATGACACAACGTACGACGCATCGCTGGGTCGTCTACCGCCGGCAGGGACGTAGGTGGAGATGAGTCGTGGCTTGAGTTCCTTGGGAGGCACCAACGGTCGCGCCGCAGCCGCAGCCGCAGCCCCCGACGCCGACGCCGACGCCGGCCCTCTGGTCTGCGAACCGGGCGAGCCCGCCGGCGACCGCGGGGACGCCGCATTTTCCCACCCGCCCGCCGCCCCCTCGCGGGCCTGGGCCTCGGCCGGGGTCAACGGCGGCGGGGCTCGCATGGTCAAAAACTTGCCTCGACCACCCGTCGGGGCCAGGCCTGCCCGCGACGTCGTCGTTGCTGCCCCTCCTGACGAGGCTTCTGCGTGTTAATCGGTACCCGGTCAATACACGTGTGTGCGGTTGTGTGTGTGCGCGCGCGCGTGTGTGCGTGTGTGTGTGGTCGAACCGGTGGTGTGCTGTTGTCGCGCGGGCGGGAGAATGAACGATCCGCCGCCGGTCGGTGTGGTGGGGCGCTTTACCCCGGTGCTGGGCGTGATGGCCGACCCGCCCGACGTCAGCGCCGCTGCCGACGAGTTGCCATTCGCCGCGCGGGGCGACACCGCACTACCGCTGCCTACGCTGGCCGGCATCGACGAGATCAGCGGCGACCCCGACCGCGGCGGCCTGGGCGACGGCTGCGGCTTCACCGCCGCCGACGCCACCACCGCTACCGTCGGCTGGACCGCGGGCGTCTGCTCGACCGTCGGCTGCGGCTGCGGCTGCGACGGCTTCGCGCGTGGGGTGGTGGCGGGCGGTTCGTAGGGGTCGCAGTAGGTGACGGGGAAGATGCCGATCGTGCCGCTGGGCGCCAGGGTAGTGGCGTCCAGGACCTCGCCCTTCCACCAACCGCTCTGGTGGTCCTGCAGCACGCCCAGCACGTCGGCCGGGCTGAGCGTGAGCTCGGACGAGTCCTGCGGCTCGTAGGCGTAGGCCACCCGCACGTAGCTCACGTAGTCCACCGGGTCGTCGTCGGTCGCGGCAGCGGCCGAAGTGGTGGTCGCGGCGGTGGCGGTCGCCGGCACGGCAAATCTTGCCCCTGTGGTGGCTGCTGGCGTCGCTCCGTTCCCTGCGGACTCCTGCGCAAAAATTGGCAACACGGTGAGTCGCACACACCGCACGACACGCACGGCGCAAATGACACGCACGGCACACATGACACGCACGGCACACATGACACGCACGTACGGGGAACAGCGAGTGGTAGTTTTGGATGAGGAAGGAGGTGAGAGCGTTGGCGGCCGGGGTGTCCTGCACGATTCTGAAGATGTTCTCTTCCCGCATGCGCAGCAGATTCGGTGCAAACACTGCGCAGCGACCGCACGGTGAGTCGCACAAACCAAAGCGAAGACACAACACACGACACGCATGACACGACACGACACGCACGACAACGGCCGCGTACCGGTGGCGAGGTTGTGCATGGGCATTTTGTTGGTGGCCGAGTGGGATGCCACTTCGGAGAGGAAGCCGAGCAGGTACTTGAGTACTCGGACGTTGACTTCGGGCAATCGCGACAGCACACTCTTCACCGCCTCCACTATGTCGACACACGACACGCACGACACACGACACCACACGACACACGACACACGACACACGACACACAATCAGCATCGGCCGAGGCGTGGGAGGAGGTGAAGGGAAACGTTGAGGGTACGTTGGCATCCGGTTTCGAGGAAGATGTCGTAGAGGTCAAAGGTGAGGAGGGGTTCGCGCAGCTCTCGCAGGAATTGTTTGAGGAGACCGCACACGACGTGGATGTCGAGGCAGTTGTTGAGGTCCACGTCCTGGCCCTCATTGAACGCCCGCTTGAACCCCTCGATCGCCACCGCACTGCCCGAGAGACGAAAGATTCCCTCCTTGTCGATGCCCCGCTCCTGCACCGGCGCCGAACAAAGATTATAAGTCCGATGATCGTTTGTTTTTAGGTCCGAGGCGAAAGAGAGAAGACGAAGAGGAGGGAAAAGAACGAAGACGAAGTGAATGAGTGAGTGGCGGTGAGGGGTCGTGCCTTGACGTATGTGATGCACTTGACCATGAGGACCGGCAGGTCGCGCCCGGCGAGTGTGTCCTCGAGCGTACCGCCGAATATGAGTGGCCTCGGTCCCGACGACTTGTCGCCTGGCGGTTGCCACGGACGCACCACGCCCCCGGGTCCCCTGCATAGAACGCGCGTAAGTCAACGTGCGTGTGTGTCGTGGTGCGCGTGCGGTGGCGCGTGTGCGGTGACGTGCGTGCGGTAGTTGAGAGAAGAAGAAGGAGCGTACGAGCCGGGGTAGTTGCTGGTTCGGCCTTTGCGAAAGATGGACATCTTGGTCTGCTTTTCCTTCTTTTGCAGGAGCACACAGGCCCCGGGCTCCACGCCCTGCTCCACCAGCGAAAGCCCCAACTGCA